TCGGTAACCTCGAAGGTTGGTGCACGTGTGGTTTGCACAAAACTAAATGTTGCTTAATCCCCCCAAAAAATCGGAGGTTCTGCCGGTTGGCACACACTAATTGTGGGAGGATCAGGTGTGGCTGTCACACACTCCAGGATTTATTGTTCTCCTCATCTAAAGAGCTTCGGTACCATACCTGAGCAGAATGTGTCGTTTGATCACCACGTGCAGGTCCTGCAATGTTCATATCAGGGCTGGAGGACAAAATTTGACCACCATTGAATCCTGCCAGCCAACACGGTGGCGTGTCGTAGCATAGTATTGACAAGGATCGATAATTGCAACTCACTGCTCTACGGGATGTCTGGCAAAAAGTTACAGCATGTACAACACTCTGTGGCAGGTGTCATGACGCGTACTGCAAGATCTTACCATGTCCGTACAGTGCTTGCTGAGCTACGTTGGCATCAGGTTGCCAGACGAGTACGTGATGAGGTCGTACTTATTGCACACCAAGTGCTTGTCACAAGTTAACCACAATGCCTTGCTGAACTCGTCAAGGAGCATGAACCAACATGTGGACTCCGGGCATCCTCACAGCGGCTTTTAGCTAGCAATCAAACAAAGACGCTCACTGCATCGCGTGCTTTCAGATGCGCTTCTGCGGCCATCTGAAATCGTCTTCCTTCCGATATTAGCGAGCCGCTGGAGCTATGCGATTTGAAATCGAGATTGCAAACTCATTTCGTTCGAACTGCGTTTTGTGTTTAGATCGTTGTTCTTCCGCCGCACCTTCGATTAGCACGGTTGGTTATGTACGGTGCCAAACAAGTTCAACGTACATACATTACTAAAAGGGATGATTGCTGATGTGTGAGAACGGTGGGAAAATAGCAGCCAAAGTTTGAGAACACGCCTGAGAGGATAGCAACTGTGGAAATAGAGTGATGATATCAGATCATGTCCAGCAGCGAGATGGATTGTGGCATTGCAAAACCATGAAGGACGGCATTGGCATGGGGAGGCTTTCATCCAGCAGTAGATAGATAATGGCCGATGAAATGTACCTCGCTTGAGCATAGAACTATATTTTAACCGATGACGCGTTTAAGAAAAAGTATAAAATGTGAAACCACAGCAGGCTCCTCTGTCCATATCAAGGATGATTAAGTGCCAGGGTGTACGACACCCACGGTGGCAATACTAACAGCACACAAGGGGTTAAAGGGCAATTGTGTCTTGTCTTGACACTGTCAGTGGCTAATTGGGCCACTCGCCTGAATAAATATAAAAGCGACAGGCCCAGTACATTACTCACCTGTCAGGCGATCTCTCAGATCAGAGGACGATCAATGCGATTGCTATCTCGAAATCGGTCCAGGTGCATGGGCTGGCTGTGTTGAAAGTCACTAATCGGAGTAATCTCTACCCGGGAGATCAAGCAAACTGCTATGAAATCTGAATTTTTCTTCTTGGTTTTTTCTTTTAAGTCACGTAGAATTGAAATAAAATAATAAAAATAAAACATTATTTATTATGTTTTAAAAAATAATAAAAAGAACAATATTTTATTATGTTTTATTTTTATTATTGTATTTCAATTCTACGTGACTTTACCGAAAGAACCAAGAAGATTAATCCCTGCAGTCACGAAAGCTTTAAATCGAAATTTAAATCTGAATTTTGTTTAGCAAAAAAGGCAGCGTGTGGATTGGTCGTAGAGGTCACAAGAGTACAATCCCTATGCTTTACTGTTGTCAAATATAATAGAATGGAACAGAACTCCATTGTATGCATCTGCATAAAAACTAAATGTATTGTTCGGTTAGCGTCCCAGACCAATATTGTCGAGCAACATTTTTTACGAAAACTCTGTACTTGTTGTGATGAGACCTCTCTAGATCTCATCAACAGTCAGGTTTGTTAAACAAATGCCGTTGAATTGCCAGTAATTAATAGTCAAAGCATTCAATTTAAACCATGGGGCCCCGTTCAATGCGTATAAAGCAGTATTGTAGGTATACAAACTCATTACGTGTTGCTTTTGAGTTACTGTTATAAAATTTTACAATTTATAAATCCATTTTCCCATTGTATAATAAACATTTCACAAGTATAAAATTGGTTTAAAAAAAAATAGCAATTGTTCCAGTTTTTTTCTTCAAGCAGTAATTATTTATCATTAAAATGTCCACCAACAGGTAACTTATGAACACATTTATAACATTGATTTAAAAAAAAACTGCAACAAATTTCTTCATGAGATATCCGCCTTATGCTTAACAAAATTTAAATGAGCTTTGCCGATTAAATGAAACAACGATGCTAAGAATATACACGCGCCACCCTAAGTGTTCTGTAAAATTGATTTAATATCGGTGCCTTTTCCAACACAAACACGTGCGCACTCTCATCGCGCGCGCACACACACGGGCACGCACCCTTTTGCTCACATACTCACCAATAATATGAACCGTATTGGCGGCATTAGATTCGGAAAGAGGCAGAATCCACAGGTGAACTCTGACCATTAATCTTCCGCAAATGTCAGCAGTCTAGGCCTTTGTGAAAATTTCTCTGAGCCAACAACCACCTGAATGACCTCTGCCAATTCCCAATCACCCTCGCAGAACTCTTCCAGCCACCCACCCACCCAGCGCCCCCATGGGCTCAGCATGGATCACTTGGTGGCATTGCACGTGTGAGAGAGAGAGAGAGTAAACGAGGCAGTTTATTAAATCTGTCAGTTCTCGCAAAGTTATTAAACGAGCGCCGGAGCTGAATCGCCAGGGGAATTCGTGTGTCCAGCTGCCCTTTATCGCAGCGGGAATTAGGGGAGGGTGGACCAGGAGGTTTACCATCAAAGCAAGGTTAGCTGCTGGAAAATAAATGTTAAAATATAAATATTTTAAAATATAAAAGGCTGAGGAAGGATATTAAAATCATAATGTCGGAAATGTGAGAGAGGAAAAAAAAGAGTGTACACACATTTGTGTTTGCACGTGTGTGCGCGTGACATTAGGGGGTTTCTTGCTGTGTGTATACACTTGTCACGGGCTTTTTGCGCTGATTAACTTCGATGAGCCCCATAGTTTCATTGGAGTGCTCTTGCCGATAACGCCGAGTAAAATACTGCAGCATTCATTTAACAAGCCTGACCCGGCTGATGATACCCAGGCAGGTCAAAACCAGTCAAGTAATTGCGTACTTAAACAAATACTGCTGGATCAACATCAATCTGGAGAACCGAGAGACAGATGGACTGGTATACACGTTCATTTGTATGTGAATGTAAAGAATGGAGCTATGCAGCATGGTGTTTCAGTATTTGCTTTTACATTCTCATAAAATGTATGTGTGTGGGGGGGGGGGGGGGGGTGCATTTATGTATGTATTATGTTGAACTTCTTTCACATCGGACATAGCCAACCTCGCTTAGCATAGGTGCGGGCGGTCGGGGAGGCAACAAACTAAACACAAAAAGCAGTTTCTAAACAAAGAAATGTTAAATCTAGACGATTTAAATGTGCATCGTAGCTCTAGTGGCTTCCGAATATCGGAAGGAAGAGCGTTCCAGACGGCCACCGAAGCGCAATCTGAATAGCGCGCGATGCGTGTGGGATGTTGGGGGTGGAGGTGCATGTACATGGGGGGGGGAGGGCAGTCACCTTGGGCAAAAAATCGTGGGAAACAAGGAGTAGGTGAAGTGGAAAACCGCGTGCATGCGAGGATGTGATCACAAGCATGCGCACGCAGGCAAGCGCGAGTATGCGTGCATGGATGCACGATAGTGCCGCGCGGTCTCCAGTGAAGTCGCTCACCCATCGTGGGTGTGTAAAAGGGCAAGGGAATCACTGCCGGTTGGAACGGTGATGCATCGTGGCTTCTTGCAAAAGGAGTTTGTTGTTGTTGTTGCAACGGAATGCGTGCGTTCTGCATGTGCACACACATGCAGTGTCTCCCAGCTACAGTTGTGAGCGGCAGACGGCAGTGCAGAGAAATGTATTGTTATACTGTATCATGCAGTCCCTGCCTTAACCAATCCCCATGGTGAAACATCGAATTGAATTGTTCGTACGTTTGGTGTTGTGAGCGCTCTGCGCTGCCTGCCACAGATGAGGTATTGTTGGCTTCAGTACATTCGCAAGTGGAGGCCCATTGTTGCTATGTGGCTTCACGAAATTCGGTAACTTGTGAGTTATTTCCAAATGTGGCGCGTTTGTACCATGATGCTAGCATGCGTTGGCCTTCTCTTTTTTGTTTTGAATCATATCACGGCGATAACTTTAGCCCCCCCCCCCCCCTGTGAAGCAGACAATTCCTTTGCAGCATTGGCCAGGTCGGCCGCTGGAGTCGAACCGCAATCCTGGGCACCGTGCAGTACATTGAACGCGCTTCCGCTTGGCCACGTCAGCTCTCAACGCATGGCATCGTATCGTATCGTCAAACCCAAGTGTGGGGTCAAATAACCTCCAACAATAACAACAAGCACCAGCCGTTCACCACTGAGTAGGCGGTGACGTCGCCACGGCGCTTGTGCCAGGCTCGGTGCACCTCCACAACCCACATGATGTGAGGCGACCCTCTTCCCCCCAGGGTTGTGTGTGTCACATGCGGCTGTGTTCGTGCACGCCACACAACCACCAAAGACAAAGATCCCACCCGTGTAGCCTGTATCAGAATGTTGGGGCAAGTGCCCTAAGCGAGTAGCACCTATGAAGGCCGGTACGGCACACGAGGGGTCGGTGGCCAGCACCACGCCCGGCCGCCTTTGTCTCCCCAGCGGTGATGTTCGCACACCGCACCAGGTACTCACGTGGGGCTGAGTCGACCTAGGGGAAGGCCCCAAAGGCCGGTTCAGACAATCGTCACCGGTTGCTGGCCGTGAGCGTGAATCGAACTCGGGTCAGCGGGTTGGTAGTGCAGCGTAGCGCTAACCCGACGCACCTCCGCCTCCCCAATACACAACCGCCAGTAAGCAGCAGCGTCACGAGCGGCAACCACGCGGAGGACGTTACCGTAGGCCGAGTCGTAGAAGACGAGGAATCGCTGCCAGTGGAACTCGGTGACGGCGCGCAGGGCCACCTGCGTGGCGAGGGCCGGCGGCCGCAGCACCAGCGTGTAGCCGGGGCCCGCGCGGGGCCGCTGGCAGTCGCTGTGAGGGGAGCCCCCAGCCCCGCGCTGCACGAACAGGTGAGGGATGTGCAGCGAGTCGGTGAGGGCACGCAGAGCGCCCGCCTGGCTGCAGCCAGTGCTGCTCACCAGCGCCAGGATCCCCTGGGCCATCAGCTCGCAAGCTGCACGCACGCAGCAGAAGGTGAATTGTAGCTGGGATGATCAGTGGATCAAGTCGATTAATCAATTAAACGTTGCGATGGACAATCACTGGAGCCCCTTTTTTTAAAAAAAATTGGAGGCCTGCCCCCTCATCCTGCCACCAGAAGCCTGGAGACCCCCCCCCCCCGCCGCCCACGAGCCACGCACAGGGTGATAAAGCTGATTACTCCATTGATGTCGCCACAGTCAACCTCCAACGCATCACCTCCCGTCCAGCGGCACACGTGGTTACAAAGGTGAAGCATTTATTTTCCCTCTATTTTTTGTCATCCAATTTCGTCGCGTATTAAAACCGAAAATCGGTAGTACAGTCATTTCACTCGTTAAGCACTTGGATAGCTTACGTTTTTTTACGTTTAAACAGGTGAAAAACTCAAGATACCAGGAGAGTCTAATTTGCAAGAGTGACCTGGGTTCAATTCCAAAGTTAATGCCCTTGAACAAAAATCCTCTTTCTGAACATTGTCAGCAGTCACATCTTTATCGCAAATGCTAAATTCCCACAGTGATCGTTTCCAGCCAGGTGACCCACTTTCTCGGTACTCTGCAGTTTGGCCACCTCTTATTTTCAGTGAGTTCAAAAGTCCTTCATGTTGACACATTTGCGCTGAAAGTCCTTTGTGCATTGTTTATTGTTTTGCTGAACTGTTAGGTCACCGTTGTTGCTCCAGTATCGCATTGGACACCTTTTGTTATTATTATTATTGGACTCTCGTGGTACATGGACTCACCGCAAATTAAACAAAGGAACTGGTATTGCGTGGTCCGATCCCTTTCTGAAAGCCATCGTGAGTTCATCTGGCAGAAGCCGATGCGAGTTGTGTTGGCCACTGCGAGTCAGTTTTTTTTTTGTTCGGAGAGAAGGACTTATCATTGATCGGGGCAGCACGTCCCATAATGCACTGCGAGTACCTCATCAATCACACGATTTGCACCGTACTTGCCGGCGCTGTTTGGCACACGCTCTCTGGTGTACAAACCCCAAGCATGCCGAGGACATTTTTTATAGCGATACTTGCTATTACGGGTGTAGCCTCACGGACAACAAAAGATCCACGCAAATAAATACTAAAGCAACAATCCCCCGATACAAACCGACACAGGCTGTGAGGGCAAGCCCTGCTAGTGAGTACCTATTACACACAAACACACACATGCACACATATACACGCGCATACACATACGTAGAACTAAACATAAACATGCTAAAAATATATTAGAAATATAGAGGTTAACTGCACAGACCGATCATTTAGCTGTACAAGAGACACAACACGTGGAAAAATACCGGTGTGAATTGCAAACTAGACGCCTCCTACAACTGCAAGGTAAAATCCAAGTTGATTAATTGACTAACACATCGCTGTTGGAGATATTAATGAATAGAGTCACACTCCGCCACCCACCCACCACCATCCCATCATATTGTTTGAGGTTTGTGAAGTAAAGTTGCCTTTACAATACTTCACAAAGCAAACCATCAAGGTCAGGAAAGCACAATCCATCTTGTCGTCAGTTGTTGGTTCAGCATTTGCAAAGCACCCACGCGATTTGCATTGATAAATAAATCAAATACCGTTTGGGGTTTTCAGTTTCAGTGTGTAAAATGTCGAGTCTCGCAGATGGCAGTCAAAATCACTTAAACTGGAAACAGTGCATTTGTGAGTTAGGGTATGAGAAGCTAAATACGTCTGAAGTTGAACGGTTATAAAATGCATCACATGGCGTCTCAACATTAGTATGCAACATTAAAATAAAAAAATAGGTGCATCCCACTTGCAAAATATTCAGGATGAAGTATATATCGGTAGTTTGCGCGTAATAAATCGGACGCGTATTTTTTTTCTTCTTAACGACTTCTCACGCTCATCGCTATTCTATGCAGATGCAATATATATACACAGCTCGGCTGATCCAGCTGGAAAAAAAAGAGTTTGGGACTTTGCAATCCCACAAATCGCACCAGAGCTCGCAAGAGGCCATTTGGCCAGGTGATATTTCATGTTGCAATGGTTCAAAAGAGACATCGTGATCACCTTTGACCTATGACTTTCAATGTTTTTTTTTACTTCTGAGCATGAAAAGCAATCAAAGGAGATAGGTTTTGGATTATAAATTTGTGGGTTTTTTATTTCCACCTTTGCTGTTTTTTTCCAGGTAAGTAATGTAAAATGGTACTGACATATTTTGCCACAGTATTACTCGTGTTTTTACACAAAGAGCATCATGAAAATGAATCCTGAGCTTCAACATCGTTTTCTTGTCAATTCTGATGTAAGAACGCCAGAAATTATACCTGGCCATGTTTTAGTATTCTATCTTCAAAAGGCCTAAACACATTTCACCCTTTCACACTCCGGTGACTTGAATTCCAAACGGAGTGTCATCACCCAGCCACTAAGCCCCACCAGCAATCCTAGTAACTACCTTTTTCAATATTTATTACTCCATTTCTGTACACATCGGTATTACCTAAAGAAGGCCAGTTGGCTGAAACATTGATACCTTCCGTTGCTCTTGGTGACAATACACAAAAACTCGATAAATATATTTTATTTAAGCTGTTATTTTATGTTTTAGTTCACACAGTGACTTTGACAGCTGAATGAGATATAGTAAAATGCATTGTATATGGCCCCTTCAATTGTACTTTCAAAGTACAGTAGTATAATACAGAAAAAAGGTTGCAAACTTGCAGGCGAGATAGCGTTTATGAGTACGAAGAAAATCGTAATCTTCTTCACAAGCCACAATCAATCATTTGCTGGATGAAGACGTCCCAAGTCATCACCATCTCTCAGGATCCTGCAATGCGACAATCCAACGGAGCCCGTTCACACGAGCTAATTCCATCGCTCCATCTCCTCGATGCACGGCCTCTCAGACGCGTGCAAAAGGGAGGCGGTGGTTTTCAAACGTTACATTGGGAAACCACTGCTTTTTCCTGCAATTGTAGGTTTTCTTGTCCTTCCCTCCGTACCTTCCGATGAGTATGGTTGGCTACGTAGGGTGCAAATAAAGTTCAACATACGTCAGCGGTCTTAATTGCAAGGCCCGCGATCGATTGGCGGCCACTGATGGCCTTTAGTGCAGCTCCTAACTTGCAGCCCCGGACAATACACGGCATGTGAATCACCCCCCCCCATCATCATCATCATCATCGTGCTGCTGTCAAAGCCCGATGGTTTTTAAATGGTGTGGCAGCTCTCACACTGATGTCTTATCGGCGAAAGTGGGCCCCCCTCTGAAAATGACTGAAGAACACTGACATACATACCTACAGAGCACGCCTCCTCCACCACCGCAACATCCATAACACCGCAGGGTAGAGCTGCCTGTAACCCATTAACAAGCCTGTCTCCACCCCCCCTCGCACTCCCCACTGCCCCCCCCCCCCACCCGCTCCTACAATTTCACTCTCGCTCATCACCACCACCACCACCACACGTCCAGTCGCGCAATCACCATTCTGCTGTACAGAGCGGCTGCAGGGGAAGAGGAAAAAAAAACTATCGCAAAGGCAACGCAGTGTCCAAACCTAATTCCATTTCTTCCATTCCAGAAGCTCGAGGTGAAAGGATTACGTTCATCGATTGCTTTCATCCACCGCAGCAGCAGCAGCTGCTGCCCATCGCGCTGCAGCCTTCGCTTCAGCGCGCACCGCCCACGTGACCGCTCTCCCCCGTCCATGCGCGTGCCCGTGTTCGGAGGAGATGGCACCCCCGCACGATTCCAAGAGATTCGTCTGCGCACAATTTGTTTGCCTGGCTGCCATCACGCGAACTCTCCCCACCCCCCCCCCACCCCTTTCTGCGAGCGAATGTGAATTGCTCGTCACCTTATTTACAATTTCATTTGTATTTACTACCTTGACACGCGATAACTCTTTTTTTTTAATAAATTTAATTTCCGTTATTTTTGTTGCTGTTGCATTGATGAGACCATGGAGGATGGCGGTGACTAGGGAATGCATTCATCCAGCAGTGGATTAATCATGGCAGACGATGATATTATGACGATCTTTTTCTAAATATATTGCTGAAAAGTTGATATCGCAAGAACAATTAGCTTGCGAATCGCACCATACCCATCGATTAGCATTCATTTCAGACCATTAGCCAAAGGTGTTAAGGTCAATGTTGGCTAAGGTAAGCTGTGAACCTCTTTACACACACACACCTACACCACCCGTAAGCATCTGCAGGCATCTGACCTCGTGGTAAATTACACCTGTTAAGACCTGGCACTTGCCCGTGCACATCCGTCTAAGCTACAGCAAACAGCTGTTGCAGAAAAAGCAACCGATCGCCCAGAGCCCCTGCATCTGCTGCGAGACTCAGCATTCTATGTCACTTGCAGAAAGAACTCCCCCCCCCCCCCAATGCAATCAAGAAACGCTAATGTGATCTGAGGTCTGTTAAGAAAAAAATGACATCTGGATGCGGGAAATGTCAGCCAAGCTGCATAAGCTAGGAAGCGTCTAATGACTCCGGCGCACGTGATGCGAGTTAATGAGTGCAAGTGCCGTACTTCTCCTGGTCTTCTCTAGCAATAGCACTGAACTTTGCTTTGAATTTGCATTCGGGTGACTTTTAATATTCTTACGGCTACTACTACAACCATCATTCTAGTTGTCTTTTGGTCGTGTTATGATTAAGAAATACGCGAGAAGGTTCAGTTATTTTGAACGCCAAGTATCGAGATAATTGCCATCAGCCATGATTAATCCACTGTTGGATAAAGGGCTCCCTAAAAGGATCACTCTCTCACAGTTTTGCGACGTAACAATCCGCCCAGGCACCCGCACGAACCTATTTCATCACTCCACCTCCTCGCTGCGTCATTATTCCCTTTGCAACATCAAACTCATTGCATCGGTGTTTTATATTTTGAAAAATTCAATCAACACATTTTGTACACTCCACATTTATTGGCAAAGGTTCTGCATCTTAAAATCAAC